TGTGCGGAAGGAAGTTTCAAGGACAGTTTGTAGTGTTGAGGACCTGAGAGTGGGGCCGAAGACCTGACCTGAGACTGCTGTTTAAAATGGGTTGCGGTGGGCTCCGGGTAGACATGCTAGCCATGCCCAGACTCCCACCCTTAGGCCAGGCCTCCTGTGCAGAGCCTGGGGGTCCCTGGGCTGGCTAACTGCCCCTGCAGGGCCGAGCGCGGGAAGAGGAGGCCCAATCGGCGCCAACAGAAGCAAGGTGTTGGGGGGTGGTCCTTCCTTGTCCTGCTGCCATGTACATCCTGGTAGCAAGACGTACACGCATGTACAACAGTAGCGAGACTGTCGAATAAAACAGCGTCACACTTGTGCAGTGGTGGGTTCGTTTGTCACTCATCCCTGAGCGTCTGGGACTTCCCTCGGCCTCCAGGGGCTGTCAGAGCAGCAACTCCTGAGGCTGCGTCTGGACATCCTTGGGGAAGTCCCCCTCCCCCACGGGGGCTCTGGGCAAGACCAGAGGAAGGCCAAGGAAGAGGGGGCGACCGCGGCCTGTGGAAGCACGTGGGGGAAGCGCCTGGAAGGCGGGCCAGACTCAGTGCGGGCGTTTCAGGTCTTCACTTCCAAACGCCTGAGTAACAGGTCCTCCTGTATCCGCAGTTCTACTTGTGCGGACCCAGTTCCGTCGTCCCCATTGGAAAGTGAAGTTGTTTCTCCCTTTTAAAGCGAGGTCGCTCTCTGCTCCTTCTGCACCCCCAGCCCACACAAATGGAGGGAAAAACAAATGGGCTGTTTCCAGTCCTCTCTTGAGCCTGCAGCGAGGCAGGTTTTGTCTCCACAACCCTGACCAAGCTAGCATATTAAGGTCCACAGTGGCCTCTGTGTGGCTAAATCCTGGTCAGTCCTCGGTCCCTGTCGCATTCACATCCCAAGCTCTTCACTGAGCGTGTTCAGACCCTTGGAGAAGTTACGAAGGTGGCATAACACACCCGTGCTGACCCTTTTCTGGATTCACCTTTTACACCTTTGCTCTCGCTCATCTGTACAAACCGTCTGAGCGTCAGCTGCAGACCTTATGACACTCACCCCTGAACTCCTGTTATCTTGCAGGGAGAGCAACAGTCCCCAACAGCCCAATGCCAGCATCATGCCCCGAATGAACGATTATTCCAGGATACCATCTAGTGTCATGACACATCCTAAAATCCCTGATTGTACTCCAAATGTCTCTATACTTTTATTTTGTATTGTATTTAGTTACTCTTACTGTCTTAGAATCTTCAACAGGAGCAGGGTGGTGGTCAGAGTGGGCTGAGTCCTATTCTGGATATGCTTTGAAGGAAGAGCCAGCAGGGTTTACCCCAGGATTGCATGTGGAGAATGAGTCAGGGTGGCGTCAAGGTCTGACCCACGTGCCTAGAAGTATGGAGCCGCCTTAACGGAAAAGGGACGGGGAAGTAAGGCCATGGAGGGAGATGTGGCTGGAGGAGGTCAGGACCCGCATTCTGTATAGAGCAGGTGGAGATGTGTGTTAGATACCCAGATGTGGGTCTGGAGTTTAAGAGAGTTCTCAGCATACTCAAGCCACGAGCCTTGAGCCAGAGGAAAGAACAGTTCAGAGAGGAGAAGCCAGGTGGGGAGGAGGAAGGCCCACTCTGGGGTCCCAGAGCCCCATGAGGACAGGGTTTCTGGGAGGAGAAGAGCTGGTTAAGCCCTCCAGACACCTGGCACAGAAAAGGTAACTTAAAATCAGGAAGGCCTATAATCTAGAGCTACACTCAGAACCCTGCCCTGTGGGAATTCCGGTGGCATGGCCCCCCGCCCCCGCCAGGGGAGACCTTGGGAAAACCTCAAAGATGGAAGCCTGGAGATGGAGCTGCAGAACAGAGAACCCCAGACTTGCAGAGTGGACTGAAGTCCCACTGGAAAAGGACCCATCACCCCCTTCCCACTGCCCCACTGCAGTCCCTCAGGGTCTCGCTTTGATGGTTAAAACTGACAGTGCACGAGGGACCTGTTTGTGGCTTAATGAGTGTGTTGTATAGAGATTAGGGTGAATCCTCAGTCTGCACTGCAGGAAGACGATGAAACCATCCT